ATGTTGAATTTAGTTGTAGTTTAGTCAATATTGGGTCAAAAATCTTCGTTTAGAGCTTGTTTTGACCGGGTAAGTGTGTACTACAATTTTAATTAAGAGTATAGAACAGGTTAAGGCAGTAAAAACTGCAGAAAAGCTAAAAGTTATCAACTGGAGGCCAAAGGCCGTCAGTACGATTTTCTCGATGAGTTTGAAGTTCAAAGACTTGATATTTGCAGATTATATGTAAAATAATGTGCTAAACAAGTTTACTTAGAAGCCCAAGATAGGTTTTATTAGTAAAATAAAAAGTTATAAGTGTTTTTTGATGGACGAATTTTTTAGTTAATTTTTGTGCAATGGATTTGCAGAAAGAGTTTTTTATTTTTTTAATAGTTTTACCATATAAATATTGTACAAATATTCCTCCTGGATATCTTTTAGTAATTTCACCATTTTTAGTTAGAATTGGTACATATTTTTTCTTTTTATAATCATATGTAACAAGAGTATCTAAAACTATTCGTTGTGAAATAACTGGTTCTGGATCCTCATCAGGTGTTTCAATAATTCTTTGTTTTGCTTTTCTTTTTGGTGTTTTTCACGATAATGATTTATATGGAAAAATTAATAATATCAATATATAAAATAATATAATATTTTTATTCATTTGAAATATATATTAAAATTAATAATTAATTAAATTTATAAAATAATGTTATTTATATTATCATTACAATAAAAAAATGAATACAAAAATATTTTTAATTTTGCTTTTACTATTATCTAAAGTAAATTCATATACTTTAATCGAATGTCTTAAAGATGTGGAAGAAGATACATCAGAAAATTTTTTCTTTGATTCTAATCCTCTATGAAAAGATTATCCGTATTTATTAATATCTGTAATGGAATGTTCTAATATGATAAAAAAATATCGTAAAGACAAACTCTTGATATTATACCATGAAAACAAAGAATTATTCAATAATTATTTACATGTTATTAAAATTTTACTTTACAAATTACAAAATATTAACGAAGAATTTGAATCATATTTAATAATTTATTTCAAATTAGTAAATTAAATTAAATTTATCGGAAATGTATTTCCATATTATTAATTTTAATAAATATAAATAAAATTATTTTTATTTACTAAAATCTCATCATTCAAAATGATTAACAATATTACCAAAATTCCAACTGAACTACTTTCTGAAATTTTCAAGTATAATAATATCTTGATGAATTTAATGTTGACATGTAAAATTTTTTATAACATTATTATCGATAATCAATTCAAAATGAATTGGCTTTTTTTCCATTTTGGAAAACCTCACACTCTTTTTAATGCTATTAAATTAGGACCTAGTTTTATTAATATCAATCTTACAAATATGATTATTGAAAATACTTATCTTTCTAGATATTTTATTCAAAAATTACTTCTTGGTTATGAATTAATCGATAATCAACTTCAAAATTTTAAACTTCAAATTAATAATTTACTACTAAATGTTAAAATTTTAAAACCATGGGGTAGTGATTTGCCTTTACCAATATTTACTTTTATTTTAAATAAAGCAACTTCTATATATGGTAATCAATTATATCTTAAAGGAAATGATCTGGAATTAATGCATTTTCTTACTGGTAGTAATCTTAGAATTGAATTTGCACTTGCAAGAATCGATTTAAACATTGATAAAATTAAAGAATTAATATATAAATTAAATTTATTCCGTTTCCTAAAAGACCATATGGTATTACAACAAATAATCCAATATATCCTTCAAGTGATGGTTATGAAAACAAAAAACAACTTAATGTTATTGCTAGAACTATTATAGTTAAATCAGAACTTGTAAAATATTGGAATGATATTGGATATAATTGTAATGATGTTAATGATTTAGTTTTAGAAGGATTATCACTTATACTTTTTTCACCCAATCAAGAATTAATTATTATTCTAAGTAAAGAAATGGTAGTCAAAAGATATAAAAAATTTATAATCTTAGGTTTTAAATTAAATTATAGAATAATTCAAAATATTTTTGATTTTCAACTAACAAGAATTGAAACTATTGGTGATATTCTAATTATTTCTTTAAATGAAATTTTAAACATTAAAGAAAATACTAGTGAATTTTTAAATATTGATGAAAATACTCTTTTAAATAATCTTTATGAATATGCTACTAGAATGAATAAAGATAAACTTAAAAATTTTGTAGAAAAACGTTTAAACTATTTAAATTCTATTTCAGAATTAAAAATAGAATCTTTTGAGAGAAAAAGAATATATGATTTAAGAGAAAGAACCAAAAAAATTCGATATAACTAAAAAAATTATATGATTTTTATTATTATTATTATGTATAAATTATTATTTTTTTTTTTTTTTTTTTTTTTTTTAAGGTGAGGCCTTGCTTATATCTTTATTAATAATTTAAAATAGTTACATGT